GAGATTTTTGAGCTCTCTCTTGCATCGATCTATTTGCTTGAAAGTGGCAAGCTGAGCGGTCAGGCGAAGCGTTCTTTCTTCTCTCTCATTGGACAAAAATCTAGTGAGAGACCAGACTTTGGCTAGACAGGACTCTACTGCCTGCCAGGCCTTCTCGATCTCCTCTGGGTGCTTCAGCTTCTCCCGCAAGTGTAGCCAGTCTGCTGCTCGAGCGTAAAGCGCTGCCCAAGCACTCAGGCCACTATATTCCGCTTGCCACCCCATCGCCGTAGTAGGAACCACAGGAACTTCCACAACTTCCACTGCCCAGCCTCGGTGCTGCTCGCTGTCGTTGAAGTCCAGCTCGGGATTCCTGTGCGTGCAAAAGCTTTCTGCTGTCAAGGCGAACTTCATGTACTGCTGGGCCAAATCGTAGTTAGGCTTGCCACTGCAGTGCCTCTCACCCATGGAATGAATATTCGCCTGAAGTTTGTTCATGCCTTCTTGAATCTGCGGCTCAACTCTGACTGCGTGCCATTCCCAAGGTAAGTCTGGTCCAGGCAAACTCATGTCGATGGCAAGGCAAGGACTGAACACACGCTTGGGCATGGTGAACTCGCCAACTCTGAGCTTGAGCCGAATACCTGAATGCGGTGCCCCCCATGGCCCTTCACTGTCCCACGTGAGGTCCACTAGATTGTGTAGGTGGTGACTAACTAGGCAAAAATCAATGAGTCTGTGTCCACCTGGTACTGCTTCCTGGGGTCCTTTCCATCCTCCTCTGAGGAATACTTGAAGCCCTGATTGCTGCATTTCAGCGATTGTGTTGTTCCAATCTCCAACAATAATATATGGCTTACCTTGCACTTTGAGATAGTTGCCAACCTCATCTAGAATCTGAAAGTTAGATCCAGAAATCCCAAGATGTGGGGCCAAATAAACGGCGACGAAAATGATGTCCACCCGCTGCATCCTGACCGTTGTCGCGCACCATTGACTAATCTGATTGATCCCAGTCTGTTCTGTGATGCTTAGGCGGTCCTTCAGAATGAGCGGATCATGCCAAAGATGTTTCCGTGTGAGAATTGCAATGCCTCCATGTCCTTGAAGGCCGCCTCCTGCCGTGTCCACCGCAGGAGTAGCGTTGGTTTTCCAGCCAAGCTTCGCCACGTGCTTCGAAGTTTGAATAAGCTTGGCATTCCGAAGATGAGTCTCGACAAAGAGAATCACTTTAGCCATCTCGAGTGGACCACCAGGTTTATTGAAATAATCGAAAGTCTTGTCGTTCCATGAAGTAATGTTCGCGAAATAGAAGTCAAACGAGTCTGACTGGGACAACTCCTTCTGCGCCGAGGGAGATGATGTTTGCGAGCCTGTGGGCTTTCCTCGGTCGTCTCCAGTGGGTCTCGCTCCGTGGGGGCTGCTGTGAGCCTCGCGCCACGGGGTCTCCACCTTCTCAGACGCGCCAGAGGAAGCCCAAGAGGATGAAGTAGTCTCCCTCGAAGGACATGTGGCCCAGCGCGCTCGTGTGGGCTCACCTCCGAGGTCTCCAGTGGGACTCGCTCCGTGGGGACTGCTATGAGCCGCGCGCCACGGGGTCACCACCTTCTCAGACACTGGAAGGGATCCCAGACCTGCTGGCAGAGAAGATGGAGTTGCCCTCGACGCTGTCGACGCAGTACTGCCCCCTGGTATGCCGAAATGTTCATCAAAGACGCTTGTCGACAGTCCCTGGTGGCGGCGATCGGCTTCGAAAGTCGGCCCTCCTGAGCCGCTCCATACCAGCCTGGATGAAACGTTCACGCTGCTGCTCGCAGCAGCAGCCTCATCCCCAGTCTCATCCTGAGCATCCTCGTCATCCTCATCCTCATCACCACCCGCATCATCTTTAGCCTTACCCTGTATCCTCATCCTACCACTCCCCCTCTGCATCCCCCGTGTCCTCATACTCAGCTTCCTGTTCCTCTTCTCCTCTTCTCCTCTACTCCTCTTCTCCTCTTGTCCTCCGCCTCCTCCTCCTCCTCCATTTCCCTTCCTCCTCCTCCTCCTCCTCCTCCACCCTCCTCCTCCGTTTCCTCCTCCTCCTCCTCCTCCGTTTCCTCTTCCTCCGTTTCCTCCTCCTCTTTCTCCCCCTGCTCCTCAGGGCTCCCCCATCCTCCATTCCTTTTCCTTCTAAATCCGCTGACCCTGTCGGCGTGTTTGAGGGGGTTCTGGGTTTGTCGTCTTCGGAACGTCCTTTAGCGTTTTCTTGGGCGCGCCCCGGTCATCACCCTCTTTGGCGCACCAAGCTCGTCAACTCGAGTAGAATCGAGCCAGGTCGCAATCGAAGTCGTAATTGAATCAAAAAGGAGCCCCTTCCCCACCTGGGGGGGGTCCCGGGGGGGTCCAGGGGAGGGTCCAGGGGGGGGTCCTGGGCGGGGTCCTGGGTCAGAATACTGTCCCCCTCATTCTCTTTTCGGGCTGCATTCGATCAAATTTGGCCCTCCTTCGGCAGATGAGGTCTGAGATACTCCAAGAGGTGCCCAAGAGGGCCGGAGTCGCCGAAAGATTGCTCCAGGACGCCGAAGATGGCCTCCAGACGGCCCAAGGCGCCTCCGAGACGCTCCAGAAGGCCTCCGAGAGCACTCCCAAGAGGGCCCCAAGAGGCAAAATGTATTGAATTTCCGCTGGTTGTTGACAGATGTTAGTGTTTCTGCCTTTTCGGCTTCCCGACGCTCCCATGACGGCCCAAGAGGCCCGAAAGATCGCCCAAAGACAGCCCACGAGGCCGTCAAGAGGGCGCCGAGACGGCCCAAAAGGCTCCCAAGACGGCCCAAGAGGCCTCCAAGACGGCCCAAGACGGCCCCAAGAACGCCCCAAGAGGGGCCCCAGAGGGCGATTAGGAACGGGCAGTTCCAGCTCACCGACCAAAGACGCTCCCAGGAGGCCCCAAGAGGCTCCCCAGAGGCCCCAAAGAGGCCCCAAGAGGCCCACAAGAGGCCCCCAGGAAGCCCCAAGACGCTCCCAAGAGTCTCACAAGAGGCTCACAAGCGGCCTCCAAACTGCCTCCAAAAGCCCCCGACAGCCCTCCGAAGGAAGAGATCCCAAGAGGCATCCATGAGGATTCCGACCCACTACCCAGGCACGGTGACGGGATGGGACGCAGGCCACTAGATACTCCAAGAGGGGCCTGAAATCACCCGAGCGCCCCAAGAGAGCCCCCAGAGGGCCCCCACAGAATTCCAAGCAAGCCCTCAAGAGTATCATAACAGGAACCTTTGGTGTAACACTGTTGCGGGCTGTTGCGGGAGCCCCCCCTGGGCCCTCTTGGGCCTTGTAGAACCTCTTGGTGCCCTTTGGGGCCCCTCTACAAGCATGTTGGGACTCAGAGAGCCCGGAGAGAACTCTAAGAAGCCTCCAAACATTACCCCTTTAACGACAGCAAACATAACAATAAAATAACAACAAACAAACGAACCAACTAATGTACGAACCCTCCGCCCCTCTGCGGCTTCGGGGAAGACTCGGAAAGCTTTTCAGGAGGCACGAGGCCGAAGGCATGCTGAGCATGCTGACGAGGCCCACCCCCGCTGCCCTCCGCCAGAGGCGCGCCGCCGACGGAGGGAAGGAGGCAGAGCCGATGCCACCGAATCGTGCAAAAACCTGCAGGGAGCCCGAAGTGCTGGCGTGGCGTTCGGGAGGACCTCTTGTTGGGGGCGTCTCTGGACGGTTGCGACGCCACTCAGGAGGGGGGGGGGCAAGGGGAGAGGTAGCTGGCGGACGTGGGGGTACAGTCGAGCGCGACAGCGTTTTTTCCCCACATCCTGAGTGGGGTTCTTGTTTTCCCAGAACACCCTCTCCTTCCCACCCACCTCCCGCTCCATCTTCCATACACCACAATATTATTCCTACCACACACACCATACCATACCATAGTTCCTACCACACATACCATAGTTCCTCACACACCTCCAGGGAGGCCCCGCCTGAGCGAGGAGGGTATCCGCAAACTATACTATTTTCATGGTTTCGTGCCCCTCCCACCTCTCCAGGGAGGCCCCGCCTGAGCGAGGAGGGTACCCGCAAACCATACTATTTACATGGTTTCGTGCCCCTCCCACCTCTCCAAGGAGGCCCCGCCTGAGCGAGGAGGGTATCCGCAAACCATACTATTTACATGGTTTCGTGCCCCTCCCACCTCTCCAGGGAGGCCCCGCCTGAGCGAGGAGGGTATCCGCAAACCATACTATTTACATGGTTTCGTACCCCTCCACCCCTGCAGGGAGGCCCCGCCTGAGCGAGGAGGGTATCCGCAAACCATACTATTTACATGGTTTCGTGCCCCTCCCACCCATCCAGGGAGGCCCCGCCCGAGCGAGGAGGGTATCCGAAAACCATACTATTTACATGGTTTCGTGCCCCTCCCACCCCTCCAGGGAGGCCCCGCCTGAGCGAGGAGGGTATCCGAACACCATACTATTTACATGGCTTCGTGCCCCTCCCACCCCTCCAGGGAGGCCCCGCCAAAGCGAGGAGGGCATCAAGAAAATGGGTCCCACGAAACCGTTAATCTTTTTATGTGGGGAACTCCGTTAGCATAATTCATTATCAAACCCACTAGGCAGCAATGACGCAATGAACGCAAGGTCTGAGAATCGCCACAGCCGTCAAGCCCCGCAGCGTGCAGCTGAGGGCAACCTGTGAGCACTTCACAGGAAGGCTAAATTAGCCCTGCGAAGGACCCAACTATATGCAGTTGTGGGTAACGCTCGACCCCTACTCACAGTCGAGCGCGACTGTGGAGAGGACACTCGAGAGGATGTGGAGACCCTTCCGAGGGCCGCGCTGCCCCAGGAACGCAGTGGGCACGGGGCGCAGAGGTCAGGACGCGAAAGGGCGGCCACCCCCCCACCACCTGCAGGGGTCGACCAACGAATCAGACTCGACTGGAGGAGGAGGAGGAGGAGGAGGAGGAGGAGGAGGAGGAGGAGAGCGGCAAACGGACACGCAGCCTCCCTGCCTCCTTTTCCTGGCCGCCTCGCCTGTGTGCGCACAGCTCCGCCAGCAGCCTGCCCGGCGGGCATGTGGCACAAAGACGCTCGACAACGACGAGAGGCCCGGGCAGCAGAGCGATGGAGTGGAAATGGAAAGTTTCCCCGAAGGGCTTAGGCGACTCGTCCTCCTCCTCCTCCTCCTCCTTCCTCCTCCTCCTACTCCTCCTCCTCCATCTGCTCATCTCTCTCCCCCTCGGTTTCCTCCTCCTCCTCCTCCTCCTCCTCCTCCTCCTCCTCCTCCTCCTCGGGTCGCCTACGGGCCCGGGGGAAACCGCGCAAGTGGAAAAGGATATGCTGAAGCTCCAGGGGCACAGCTCTACGTATCCTCCTCTTCCTGGTCCTTACCGCATGATCAACACTCTAAGTATCCCTTTCAGGTTTCGTGCGAAGAGCTGCGACCCACATCGCGCATGTTCGACTCGCAATCGAAGTTCGCGTATGGGGCGAAATGGAGCACTACCCCTGGCGCGTACAAACAAGAGTGCGCAGGCGCCGCTGCGCGGGTGCACCACAATATGAATGCCATTTGGTCTGGGGGATTTCGGCCAGCATTGTGGCGATTCTTCGGTATTCGGGAGTCTTCTGGGTAATCTGGTAGCTTGATGGAGGGCCCAGCAGGCCGTGAGAGATCGGAGGGCGGGAAGGGGACGCTGGCGGACCCGATGCTGCCAAGGACACTGCGGCTGACTCTGGGAATCCTGAACCCAAGATTGGCGACGCCTCGCGGTTGCTTCCGCCAGCGGACCCGCTGTCAGATTGCTTCTGCTGGCTCCCGCAGGCCTCCCGCCATCTCACGCCGTAAGCGAGGTGCGCTGAAGGCGAGGCGGTCTCCAGAACGCCCAGCGTATGCTCGAGGAGACTAATCGAAGATACTTGGGCCAGGATTCCAGCAAATTTGTACATTTCAACAAGCATGTCTTGTGTGTGCGGGCTGATGCGCGCGCGGGGGAAAGGAGTCATAGGCCAGTTTCGTGGAAGCTGCAGGCAGAGCCGAGCAGGCAAGAGCGATCGCTGCTAGACCGCCTCTCCCTCCTTCTTCTTTTTCGTTTTCTTCTCTTCCTTTTCGTCCTTCTTCTTCACCTCACCCTCCTCGTCCACTCGCCCTCCTCCTCCTCGCCCTCCGCCTCATCGGGCATCGACATCGACATCAACAGCAGCATCAGCATCAGCATCAGCATCAGCAGCAGCATCATTATCATCACCAGCATCATCATCATCATCAGCATCATCAACAGCAGCAGCATCATCATTGCCATGATGATCATCATCATCATCATCATCATCATCATCATCACCATAATCACCATCAGCGTCGTCGGCACAATCATCATAATCATCACCACCATCATCAGCATCCTCATCATCGTCGTCCTCACTACCACCATCGCCATCGCCATCATCATCATGATCATCATGATCATCATGATCATCATCATCATCATCATCATCATCAGCATCATCGTCATCATCGTCATCATCATCATAATCACCATCATCATCATCATCATCATCATCATCATCATCATCATCATCATCATAAGCATCATCAGCATCACCACCATCATCAGCAGCATCAGCATCAGCATCATCAACGGCAGCACCAGCAGCATTAGTAGCATCATCAGCATTACCATCATCAGCATCATCAGCATGCTCAGCATCGTCATCCTCACTATCACCATCGCCATCGCCATCAGCATCATCACCATCAATCAGCATCATCAGCATCATCATCGTCGTCATCCTCATCAGCATCAGCATCAACAGCATCATCAGCAGCAGCATCATTAGTAGCATCGTCAGCATCACCATCATCAGCATCACCAGCATCAACATCGTCACCAACATCATAATCCGCCTGCGTCTCCTCCTCCTCCTCCTCCTCCTCGCCATCATCATCATCATCATCATCATCATCATCATCATCATCATCAGCAGCAGCAGCACCATGATCGTCATCAGCAGCATCATAATCAGCATCAGCATCAGCATCATCACCATCATCAGCATCGGCAACATAATCATCCCCATCATTGTCAACATCACCATTATCCTCTGCATTACCATCATCATCATCATCATCATCATCATCATCATCATCAACAACATAATCGACACCACCACCACCACCGTCATCAGGATCATGAGCACCATGACCGTCACCATCGTCACCATCCTCGGCGCCACCATCACGTCAGCATCACATCAACAGCAAATATCATTATCATCAACAGCATCGTCATCGCCATCGTCGTCATCGTGATTTTCGGCATCGCCATCCGCATCGATATTATCACCTCGACGACCACCACAACCACCAGTTCCGTCATCAGTATCGTCATCATGATCATATTCATCACCAACAGCATCATCATCGTCGTCATTAGCAGCATCAGCATCAGCATCAAACTCATCATCCTCAGCATCACCAGCATCAGCAGCATAATCAGAATCAGTATCAGCATCAGCACCATCAATCATCGTTATCATCAGCATCACCATCACCATCATCATCATCATCATTGTCATCATCTGCATCGTCGCCTCCAGCAGCATCAACATCCGCATCATAAGCACAAACTCCTCAACATCAGCATCAACAGCAGGATCAGCATCAGCATCAGCATCAGCACCAGCACCAGCATCAGCATCATCAGCGTCAGCATCATCATCTTCATTATTGTCGTCCTCCTCCTCCTCCTCGTCATCATCATCATCATCATCATCATCATCATCATGATCAGCAGCATCATGATCATCATCAGAAGCATCAGAAGCAGCACCATCATCAGCATCAGCATCATCACCATCATCAGCATCGGCATCATAATCATCCCCATCATTCTCAACATCACCATTATCCTCTGCATTACCATCATCATCATCATCATCATCATCATCATCATCATCATCATCATCATGAACATAATCGACACCACCACCACCACCACCGTCATCAGGATCATGAGCACTGATTTGCCAACAAAGCTTACGCGCGAGCTCTTGCGAAATCTTAAGATAACCATAGGTTTTCAAGATTTTCACAAAATGCTACCAAACGGGCTTCGCGCGCGCATGCCGAAATCTGACGATTGTCCTTGCGCGTGTGCCGTCTCGAGAATCCTCTGCAAAAAAACGAAAAAAAAGGAGACGCGCGCGTCGTCGCGCGTGTATGCCGAAATGCTTCAAAACCCAACGGTTTCGGAAGGAGTTCAAAATCGTGTCCAAAAAAACGACAAAAAACACACGGTTTCGCAACACGGATTTTCAACAAAAGCGTGTGCGCGCGCTCTTGCGTCGTCGTCGTCGTCGTCGTCGCCGTCCTCCCTCATCCCGCGTCGTCGTCGTCGTCGCCTATGTCGTCCTCTGTCTTTCCTCGTGTTCGTCGTCGTCGTCCTCTTTGGCGTCGTGGTCGTGTCCGTCGTCGTTGTCGCCGTGGTCGTCCTTCCTCCTCCTCCCTCGTGGTCGTCGTCGTCCGTCGTCAGCGTCTCGTCGTCGTCCCTACTATTTCGTCGCCGTCGTCGTCGTCGTCGTCGTTGTCGTCGTCGAGGTCGTCCCTCCTCCCTCGTCGTTGTCGTCGTCGGCGTCGCCGTCCTTCCTCCTTCTTCGTCGTTCGCGTCGTCGCCGTCCTCCCTCCTCCCTCGTCGTTGTCGTCGTTGTCGTCGTTGTCGCCGTCGTCGTCCTCCCTCTTCCCTCGTCGTCGTCTTCGTTGGCGACGTCGTCGTCGTCTTCGTCGTCGTCGTCGGCGTCGGCGTCGTCGCCGTCTTCGTCGTCGTCAGAGTCGGCGTCGTCGTCGTCGCCGCCGTCGTCGTCGTCGACGGCGTCGTTGACGTCGTCGTCGTCGTCGTCGGTGTCGTCGTTGTCGTAGTCGTCGTCGGCGTCGTCATCGTCGTCGTCGTTGTCATCGTCGTCGTCGTCGTCGGCGGCTTCGGCGTCGTTGTCGTCGTCGGTGTCGGTGTCGTCGTCATCGCTGTCGGCGTCGTCGAAGTCGTTGGAGACGTCGTCCGTGTCGTCGTAGTCGTTGTTGGCGGCATCGTCGTCGTCGTTGTCGCTGTCGTCGTCGGCGTCGCTGTCGTTGCCAAGTGCCATGTGGTACCCACCGTCACGGTCTTAAGAGATTTTGCAATACAAGTTGCGGGTGGGTGGGTGGGATGTTTGCGCGAGCGGTGGAGAGGACAGCTTCAAGACAGTCAAAGTGGATTGCACCGCATAGAATGTACCACCTAGAATGCACGACATGTATTGCACCACATACGCTGCGCCACGTCGATTGCACCTGATAGCTCTCACCATATGAATTGCACCATAGAGTGCACCACCTATATGGCGCCGCATATAGTGCACCAGATGGAATGCACCACATAGATTGCACAACTTATATTGCACAATATAGATGTCACCATGTAGATGTTACTACATGTCTTGCCCCAACTAGATTGCACACTGTATACGTAATGCTCGTTGTTCGGGGTCCACGCTGGCTAACACACCTTCTTATCTAGTTTCCCGCAATATGGTATAGTCATAGTGTGTCACCTCGATGTGTATGCTGCTGCATGGCCACCATCCTGATCCCTCCACTCCTCGTCTTCCAACTGTTCCTCTTGCTCATCCCTCTCTCCTCATCTTTCCCGTCTGGCGGATGGGGAGAGCTCCTCCTCCTCCTCCTCCTCCACCTCCTCCTCCTCCTCTTCCTCCTCCTCCTCCTCCTCCACCTCCTCTTCCTCCTCCTCCTCGTCCTCCTCCCCCCCCTCCTCCTCCTCCTCCTCATCATCATCATCCTCCTCCTCTTCCTCCTCCTCCTCGTCCTCCTCCTCCTCCTCCGCTTCCGCCTCCGCCTCCTCCTCCTCCTCCTCCTCCTCCTTGCTCCTCCTCGTCCTCCTCCTCGTCCTCCTCGTCCTCCTCCTCCTCCTCCCCTCCTCCTCCTCTCTCCTCCCTCCTCCTCCCCCCTCCCTCCTCCTCCTCATCAGCATCGTCATCATCATCAGCAGCATCATCACCATCATGCGCCTCCGCCTCCGCCTCCTCCTCCTTGCTCCTCCTCGTCCTCTCCTCCTCCTCCTCCTCATCATCATCATCCTGCTCCTCCGACCTCCTCCTCCTCCCTCCTCCTCCTCCTCTCCTCCTCCTCCTCCTTCCTCCTCCTCCTCCTTCTCTTCCTCCTTCTCCTCCTCCTCCTCCTTCCTCCTCCTCCTCCTCCTCCTCGTCCTCCTCCTCCTCCTCATCCTTCTCCTCCTCTGCTGGCGGAGGGGGAAGGGCGAGAGGCACTGCCGCCCCACTGCGTAGGACACCCCCCCCGCAGAAGGCGACCCCGCCCCCGTCCGACGGCCGCCTCGACGCCAGCCCCCACACCAGCAGCAGCACGAGCCCTGGCCTCGGAGGCGCCCCCACCCTGCCAAGAATCCGCACAGCGCGCTCGAGCTGAGGAGCGGGTTGGGGAGAGAGGAGGAGGAGGAGGAGGAGGAGGAGGAGGAGGAGGAGGAGGAGGAGGACGACGACGAAGTTCAAGAAGAGGAAGGGGCGGAACAGGAGCAAAATCAGGATAATGATGAGGAGGAGCAGGAGGAGGAAGAGGAGGAAGAGGAGGAGGATGGGGGAACGAGGAGGAGTGATCCGGGCGTGCTTGATGGACCACTCCCAGATCCGAGGCCACCGCCGCCCGTCCGCCGCCGCCGCACGTCAGCCGCGCGCCCCCGCGTCTGCGTTCACTCAGGCACAGGCAGGTCCCCTCGTGTCCTCTGCTGCTGCTGCTGCTCGGATGTATATTTCTCCTTTCCGTCGTCGTCGCCGCCCGCCGACCCCCCCACCCCCACGCGCATCCCCACCCCCTCCCCCATCTCCATCCCCACCTCCTTCCTGCCATCCCTCTGTCCCTGCCATCCTGCCACCCCCACCTCGCCCCCGCCGTTCCCCCCAGCCCCCCATCCCACTCCTCCATCCCTGTCTTCCACTTCCCTCTCCCTTCCCCGCCCCCCTTCCACCGTCCCCCCCCCTGCCCCTCCCCCTGCCATTCCCCCGTCACCTGCCCCTCCTCTCCCCCACTCCCAGCACCCTGCCTTTCCCACTCACCCCTCCAATATTGCCCTCCCTCTCTCTGCATCACTCCCTCCGTCCGTCGCAAACCTCCTTACCTCGCTCGAGCCAGCGATTCGCCCGCGAGCTCGCCTCCCAAGCGCGGCGCCGACTCCCTCCTGATTCGCAGGCGGCTGGGAGGTTTGAGCTGGATAAACCAAAGGACATGGCGAATTCGCTCAGGAGTGAAGAGGAGCGAGGAGGAGTGAGGAGGAGTGAGGAGGAATGAGACAGAGGAGGAGGAGGAGGAGGAGGAGGAGGAGGAGGAGGAGGACGAGGAGGAGGAGGAGGAGGGAGGAGGAGGAGGAGGAGGAGGAGGAGGAGGAGGAGGAGGAGGAGGAGGAGGAGGAGGAGGAGGAGAAGGAGGAGGAGGGCGCGAGCTTCCGCAGGTTTGCCGCGGCCGAGACCAGGGCGCCTGCAGGAAAGTGGCGACGAGGGTCTCAGGAGCCCCGAACGCCCAAACAGGCAGTCCGCACAGCGAGGGCCCGCGGCAGCGGGCCGAGGCCAGCAGAGTGCCACCCCCGCGGGGACAAGAAGGGCGAGCCAGGAAGCCCACGAGGGCCACCCGCGGACCCCAGGACCCGCCCGGAGGGGAGAGAGTGTTCGCACCCCGTGCGAACCCCGTCTCCACCGCGCCCAACCCCAAACCCACGCGCGGGGAGGGCGCCAGAGAATTTCGAGGCGAATCCAGCAGGTTCCAGGCCGCCCTGCGCGCGCGGCCGCCGCCTGCTGCTCACGCTCGGAACTTCTCACGCTCGATCTTCCTGTCGGCCTCCGCAAGGGCGGCCTGGATGGTGCTCTGGACCTGGGCCTCCTGGACGGCCGAGTGCACGGGCACCACCTTCCCGGCCATCTCGGCGTGCGACTCCCGCGCGAGGGCTGATGTCTGCACACACTCTTTGGCCATGAGCTCCGCCTCCTCGAGCTCCGCGAGCTCCGCGTCGAGCGCCGCGGCGCGCGCGTCGAGGCTGTCGAGGCTTGACACCTCCGCGTCGTCTCGGACGACCTCGCCATCACGAGGACCCGCGTCGAGCTCCGCGACGCTCACCGAGAACGGGTCGGACGGGTCGCACGGGTCGGGCACGGCATGAGCCTCTCCATCGAGCCCCGCCTCGAGCTCGGCGTCGAGCTCAACGCGCTCCTCCGACACAACACCGGCGCCGTCCGCAGCCGCCAGCACCGCAGCCTCGGCCACGGCCTCGGCCGCGCAATGGCCTCGGCGGCCGCGACGGGTTCGGCGCGCCTGCGGGCCCAGCGGGGGCGGCCCCGCAGCGTCCATCCCAGCCACGGCGGACCCCTCGACCCCCTCCGCCTTCCCGATCTCCAGCTCCAGCTTCGCGCCGTCTTGCACCGCGCGTTCCAAGCGGGCCCGTGTCTCCAGCTCCTCCACCTCCGCGTCGACAGACAGACGCGCCGACGACGACCGTGTCCTCAACCACCTGCACCGTCACCTCGGACTCGGGCGGCGACCGCACCCGGGGCAGCTTGGCCTCCAGGGGCCTGTCCACGACGCGCCCCGCCGCGGCAGCGCCCGCCATCGAACCGACCTCGGCCTCGGTGGCCGCAACGGCCATCGCCTCCGTGAGCACCGCGTCGTCGCCGCTGCCGAGGGCCGCGAAACCCCTCGCCAGGCGGATCGGCCTCGCCGGCCTGGCCCCGCGCCCAGCCGCCCGCCCCAGTCGCCTGGGGGCCTGCCAAGGCTCCGCGTCGCCCTTGTCCTCCGGGAGCTCCAGGCTGCCACCCAAGCTGTCGCCAGCAACCTGCTCCGCTGGCCGCCATGCGCCTGGCGCCGCCAGCGGCACGCACCCGGGCTGCGGAAGGCCAGCCTGCATCATCCACTGGTGCACGATGACGCCGACCACTGGCACGGCGGCGCCGCCACCGGGGAGCGGCCACATCGCGGCCTCGCAGCAACCGCACCAGAAGCCCCCGCCCGGCAGGGCCTCCATCGCCGAGCAGCGCCACGCCACTTGGCCTGCACCCGGGCGCCCGGCCCGGCCGCGCCCGCCGCCGCGCGCTCTCTGCAGGGGCTCGAGCGTGGTGGCGACTTGAGCCAAAATGGCTACGGAGGAGGAGGAGGAGGAGCGAGGGGAGTGAGAAGGAGGACAAGTGAGGGAAGCGAAAAGAAGGCGGTAGAGAGGGAGAAGGCAGAGGAGAGGAGGAGTGAGAAAGAGGACAAGTGAGGGAAGCGAGGAGAAGGCGGTAGAGAAGGAGGTGGAGGAGGAGGAGCGAGAGGAGTGAGAAAGAGGACAAATGAGGGAAGCGAGGATAAGGCGGTAGAGGAGGAGGAGGAGGAGGAGGAGGAGGAGGAGTCCTTCTTCCAAGGAGGCCACGGTTGAAGCGGTCGAAGAAGAGATGGCGCACGGCCCGCACGGCCGCCGAGCCCGTGGCCTCACGCGGCCGTCCAGCTCGAAGCAACGCACGGTGGGGGGCAGCACCAGCTCGACAGTGCTGCGGGGGGGCGTGGGGGAGGAGGAGGAGGAGGAGGAGGAGGAGGAGGAGGAGGAGGAGGAGGAGGAGGAGGAGGAGGAGGAGGAGGAGGAGGAGGAGAAGAAGGGGACAAAGAGGACGAGGAGGACGAGGAGGACGAGGAGGACGAGGAGGCAGGAGAAGGAGGAGAAGGAACAGGAGGAGGAGGAGGAGGAGGAGGAGGAGGGCGAATCGAGATAACGGCGGCTCTCCAGCCATGCCCACATTCGCTGAAACTCGGTCCCAGGACCCCTCTTCCGTGGTCCATCCTGGCCCGTCGCTCGGCGCGGATCCAGCAATGGCTGCGAGAAGCCTCCAGGAAGCCCATGACAATCAAAAACGCCGTCCAGGGCCGCAGGAGGAGGGAGGAACAGGGAGGGAGGAGTGGAAGGAGGCAGTTTCCTCCGAGGCGTGACTTATCCCCTCCGCAACCCCATACTCTCGATTTGTTCCCTCCAAATCAATAATATTGTCAGCAATGTTGCGGCCAGGTACAAATCAGCGCTGACAGGAAGCAGCTGTGTGAGAAGCCATGCGGGAGAGCGGATGAGCGATAGCAGCAACAATGATTTTGTTGCAAGAGTTGGAGAGTGAGATTGGCCGGGTGTTGCAAGAAGCACGAAAAACGTCGCCCCGGTCCCGATCATCATCCCCTTTATGTAAGAAGACTGCAAGGCACTCGTTAAAGTCGGGCGGCAGTTCGCCTAGCCCCAGCAGCTGACAATCCAGCTCGTACAGCAAATTCCTCCCAACTTCCCCCACCTTCCAACAACTATAAGGTAGCCCATCCCCTCCAGGAGCAGAGTCTCGGAGCTTGTCGGGGCGTTCCAAAAAACTCTTCTTCGCATAGCTGCCATTCGATATGAGAGGGGGCAACCTGCACGAAACACTCGAACTCGATACAAGCAGGCAGGTGGGGTTCCGCTCCTCGGTGCACGCTGCCCCAATGATCGGTCAGAAATTTGGCACATGCATCGGGTTCCTTGGTTTGCTGATAAGAAGAGTCGTAGATGCCAACAAAAAGTGCCACTCTTCGGACCCGAGCCCACGCCTGCTGTAGACGGTTCGCTCGCTGCAACTGAGCATATTTGGCTTGCTGCGGGAGAGAGCTGCGTACGACCTCCGCCTCTTCCTCCGATAAACTGTTCAAGGTCAAATCCTGTAAGTGATAATGAAAAAAACATTCACATCCGTCCACACACCTTCCTCCGAGTCAATATACCGCGCAAGAGCTGGATAGGCACGGGCGGCACGCTGTAAAATAGCAAGGCGATGGTCGCGCATCGCCCGTAACACGGCGAACATCCAGCTGATCGTATCATCTTATCATGCAGAGTTCTCGTTCCCTTCCTTTCCCGCCTCCTCCTCACTCTTATCCCCGCCTCGTATAGAACATGTTTACATTGGTCCATCCCTTCACCAATAGATCCCTCCAACACCACTTCAGTAAGAATACTTTCCACCTCTTCCTCAAACTCGACAATGCGTGCCAGCCAGGAAGGCACGCGGTCAAACCGAGGCGCTAAGCGCGCCCCCAGCACGAGAAAGACAGGCGCGTGGTCGCTGCACCACTCGGCTTCACCGAAGCCGATGACCCCAGTCATGGAGGAGGAGGAGGAGGAGGAGGAGGAGGAGGAGGAGGAGGAGGAGGAGGAGGAGAGAGGAGGAGGAGAAGCGTGGCCTGACAAGGAGGAGGAAGACAAGAGGGAGGAGGAGGAGGAAGAGGAGGAGGAAGAGGAGGAGGAGGAGGACGAGAAGGAGGACAAAGACGACGACGAGCCGGAGGAAATGGACGATGGAGGACGAGACGGAGGAGGAGGATACACATGAACAGGAGGAGGAAGAGGAGGAGGAGGAACAAGAAATAAGAAGGAGGAGAAGAAATAGGAAAATGAAGAAGAGGGAGAAAGGTGGGCGCATGAGCAGGAGGAGAGGGAGGAGGACGAGGAAACAGGAGGAGATGGGGCACGCCCGCGCAGCGGCGACGGCCGCGCGCGCCTGCACATCTGCTGCCGCATCATCGCCAGCTCACTCCCGAGCTCCGTCACACTCACCGCGGCGGCGACCGCGAAGACGTCCGCCGCCGACCTCGCGCGAGGAGGAGGGAAAGCAGGGAGCAAGGAGGAGGGAAAGGAGGAGGAAGAGGAGGAAAAAGAAGAAGAAGAAGAAGAGGAGGAGAAGGAGGAGGAAGGAGGAGGAGGAGACCATGGGGTGACCATGATCGCGCGAGCTTTTGGAACAAAAACATGTCTGCAATAGTCTGTGCCTTCTTCCTCATCGTGGCACTTGGTGCCTGTGGTTTTTTTTTCCGCGCACGGCACCCTCTCCAGCATAGTAGATCGCCCTTCCCTTGAAGGCTGCGGAACGGCTGGCCCTGGGATTAGAAGGACAGGTGACTGCGCGGCGCCTTGGCTTGCAACATGCTCGAGAACGGTTCGCTCGAAATACTGATGCCGAAAAGTACGCGGGTCACGATGTCAAGCTGCGTGGGGCGTGAGGCCCTCTGGACCGCATCACGCTGCATCTCCCCCTGAACTCAAACGTACCCAACAATTCCCACCCCTACTCACTGGTAGTCAGAAAAAGTCGTAGATGTGGGGAATCGCGTGGTAGGGCAAGCTGGCGGAATTGCTTGACGAAAGAGGCGCGCGAGCGGCTGCAAAAGAGCAGATGAAGAGTACGGGAAGAGCGCACACAATATTACGCTAATGAGGCACACTTTGAGCAACTTGCCGCCTGAACTGTGATGATGTAGGTAGCCACTTCCATCACGCTGACATATCCCAGCAATCCCTCCGTTGCGTAGGCTTCAAACGAACAATACTCATCCTTCCCGCTATGTTTCAGAGCTCTGAGGAGTGGGAAGGGCACGGGCCCAAGTGAGTAGATAATAAAGTGGTCCTCTTGAAGATGTGATGCCAGAAGCTGCCTGCGTTGGCCACGGGCGCATGGAGGAACCGAGCGGGCGAGCTCCAGCACAGGGGCCCGCGGGCGGGCGGCTGCGCTCGGAGCGACACCTGTACCCCGGGGAGGGAGGGCTGGTAGCAGAGCCTGAGTGAGCGGCAACAGACCCGTGATCTTTGGGAGTTCCACCGCCCGCATCCCCACTGACCCCCATCGTCTGGCTCCAGTCCAGGAAGGCTGCCCCGCGGCTGACGCATCCACAGGGCCTCTTGTCCTTTTCGCCCCCCCACCCCTGCAGGAAGGCGCTCGAGATGTCGCCGATTGACAACCAGGCAAGCCACCCCAGGTTGGCGGATAGCTGCAGGAAGGCATGGGACCCAGACCGCTGCAACGCGGGAGCGCCCGTCTTGACCGCCCCAAGCTTCGCGTGGGGATCGCGCCGGCCCTGCGCGCACTGTCGGGCCTCCGCCTTCACGGGAAGCGGATGTTCGGAATTCCGCAGTGCGGCATTCCTGTCTTTGAGCTCCACATCGCTGTCAGAGCTTCGCTTTCGGCCCACCCCGCGGAGGAAACCCTCCGATTGCTTTGGCCCCGGCGCCGTCGCGCACTTACATCACGAGCAGAACCCAACTCCCGATCGATAGCGGCGCGGGAATCTTCGCGACTTTCAGGCGCAATCTCGCGCCACTTGAGCTGTCGGCCCTGCGTCTTCTGATCGAACATTTCGGGCCCCGCCCCGCGGCGACAGGCGGACATCACCTCGTGCACTGGATGGGGCCCACCCTCGGCGGGGCCGTTCGCACGTCGCACCGCGACGGGGCTCCCCACTGCAGCGAGCGTCGGCCCCCGCCCCCGCATGTTACCTAACAGCGAAGACTGATAGGTTTCTAGCAATGTCAAAAGAAAGCATCATGACTCCCGAGGGGGGTCTGGGCGGGATCCGGACAAAACCAGAGAAAACCGGTGACTTCATTTTTACACCACAGTAACGCACTTCGTGGTCTTCGAGTTCCCAGAACTCCATTCCTGGGCATGATTCTGAATGCCCGGAGCCAACTGTAGGCCACTTCGTGGTCTTCGAGTTCCCAGAACTCCATTCCTGGGCATGATTTTGAATGCCCCAAGCCAACTGTAGGCCACTTCGTGGTCTTCGAGTTCCCAGAACTCCATTCCCGGGCCACATTTTGAATGCTGAGGCAGGCTGAGGCTGAGGCTGAGGCAGGCTGAGGCTGAGGCCGAGGCTGAAGGCAGATTGAGGCTGAGGCTGAAGCAGGCTGAGGATGAGGCTGAGGCAGGCTGAGGCTGAGGCTGAGGCAGGCTGATGCTGAGGCAGGCTGAGGCTGAGGCTGAAGATGATGCAGGCTGAGGATGAGGCAGGTTGAGGCTGAAGGCAGACTGAGTCTGAGGCTGAAGCAGGCTGCATCTGAGGCTGGGGCTGAGGCAGGCTGAGGCTGAGGCTGAGGCAGGCTGATGCTGAGGCTGAGGCTGAGGCTGAGGCAGGCTGAGGCTGAGGCCGAGGCTGAAGGCAGATTTAGGCTGAGGCTGAATCAGGCTGAGGCTGAGGCTGAGGCAGGCTGATGCTGAGGCAGGCTGAGGCTGAGGCTGAGGCTGATGCAGGCTGAGGCTGAGGCAGGCTGAGGCTGAGGCCGAGGCTGAAGGCAGATTGAGGCTTAGGCTGAAGCAGGCTGAGGCAGAGGCAGGCTGCGGCTGAGGCTGAGGCTGAGGCAGGCTGAGGCTGAGGTATGCTGAGGCTGAGGCTGGGGCCGATACAGGCTGAGGCTGAGGCAGGCTGAGGCTGAGGCCGAGGCTGCAGGCAGACTGAGGCTGAGGCTCAGGCAGGCTGAGGCTGAGGCTGAGGCAGGCTGAGGCTCAGGTTGAGGCAGGCTGATGCTGAGGCAGGCTGAGGCTGAGGCTGAGGATGATGCAGGGTAAGGCTGAGGCAGGCTGAGGCTGAGGCCGAGGCTGAAGGCAGACTGATGCTGAGGCTGAAGCAGGCTGAGGCTGAGGCTGAGGCAGGCTGAGGCTGAGGCCGAGGCTGAGGCAGGCTGATGCTGAGGCAGGCTGAGGCTGAGGCTGAGGCTGAGGCTGAGGCTTATGCAGGGTAAGGCTGAAGCAGGCTGAGGCTGAGGCCGAGGCTGAAGGCAGACTGATGCTGAGGCTGAGGCAGGCTGAGGCTGAGGCTGAGGCAGGCTGAGGCTGAGGCAGGCTGAGGCTGAGGCTGAGGCAGGCTGAGGCTGAGGCTGTGACTGCGACTGCCGTTGCCACTGCGACTGTCAGCGCGAATGCGGCTACGTCTGCGAGAACAGCAGAATTCTACAACTGGATTCTCATCTGAATCTTAAAGGGGATGCTTCCAGATATGCTCCTACACATCGCTGTTAGGTCGCTTTGCCGGGATCATTACCTAACAGCGAAAACTGATAGGTTTCTAGTGGTGTCAAAAGAAAGCATCTGATGACTCAGAAGGGAAGTCTGGGCGGCATCCGGACAGCGAGGGCCGGGCTCAGGGCCGGGCTCGTTCTAAGCAAACAGTCACACACTTCGTGCTCTTCGACTTCCCAGAACTCCATCCCGGGACACATTTTCGATGCCCGGAGCCAACTGTAGGCCACTTCGTGCTCTTCGACTTCCCAGAACTCCATTCCCGGGCCACATTTTGGATGCCCGGAGCCAACTGTAGGCCACTTCGTGCTCTTCGAGTTCCCAGAATTCCATTCCCGGGCTACACATTTTGAATGCCCGGAACCAACTGTAAGCCACTTCGTGGTCTTCGAGTTCCCAGAACTCCATTCCTGGACATGATTTTGAATGCCCGGAGCCAACCGTAGGCCACTTCGTGTTCTTCGAGTTCCCAGAATTCCAGTCCCAGGCCACATTTTGAATGCTGAGGCAGGCTGAGGCTGAGGCTGAGGCAGGCTGAGGCTGAGGCAAGCTGAGGCTGAGGCCGAGGCTGAAGGCAGACTGAGGCTGAGGCTGAAGCAGGCTGAGGCTGAGGCTGAGGCAGGCTGAGGCTGAGGCTGAGGCAGGCTGATGCTGAGGCAGGCTGAGGCTGAGGCTGAGGCTGATGCAGGCTGAGGCTGAGGCAGGCTGAGGCTGAGGCCAAGGCTGAAGGCAGACTGAGGCTTTGGCTGCAGGCTGAGGCTGAGGCTGAGGCAGGCTGAGGCTGAGGCTGAGGCAGGCTGATGCTGGCTGCAGGCTGCAGGCTGAGGCTGAGCTGCAGGCTGAGGCTGAGGCTGAAGGCAGGCTGAGGCCGAAGGCTGAGGCTGGCTGAGGCAGGCTGAGGCTGGCTGAGGCAGGCTGATGAGGCTGAGGCTGAGGCTGCTGCAGGCTGAGGCAGGCTGAGGCAGAGGCCGAGGCTGCAGGCAGACTGAGGCTGAGGCTGAAGCAGGCTGAGGCTGAGGCTGAGGCAGGCTGAGGCTGAGGCTGAGGCAGGCTGATGCTGAGGCAGGCTGAGGCTGAGGCTGAGGCTGATGCAGGCTGAGGCTGAGGCAGGCTGAGGCTGAGGCCGAGGCTGAAGGCAGACTGAGGCTGAGGCTGAAGCAGGCTGAGGCTGAGGCTGAGGCAGGCTGAGGCTGAGGCTGAGGCAGGCTGATGCTGAGGCAGGCTGAGGCTGAGGCTGATGCAGGCTGAGGCTGAGGCAGGCTGAGGCTGAGGCCGAGGCTGAAGGCAGACTGAGGCTGAGGCAGGCTGAGGCTGAGGCTGAGGCAGGCTGAGGCTGAGGCTGAGAGGCCGAGGCTGAGGCCAGGCTGAAGGCAGAGAGGCTGAGGCTGAAGCAGGCTGAGGCTGAGGCTGAGGCTGAGGCTGCAGGCTGGGGCTGAGGCTGAGGCAGGCTGAGGCTGAGGCAGGCTGAGGCTGAGGCCGAGACTGAAGGCAGCTGAGGCTGAGGCTGAGGCAGGCTGAGGCTGAGGCTGAGGCAGGCTGAGGCTGAGGCTGAGGCAGGCTGATGCTGAGGCAGGCTGAGGCTGAGGCTGATGCAGGCTGAGGCTGAGGCAGGCTAAGGCTGAGGCCGAGGCCGAGGCAGACTGAAGGCTGAGGCTGAGGCTGAAGCAGGCTGAGGCTGATGCTGAGGCAGGCTGAGGCTGAGGCTGAGGCTGAGGCTGATGCAGGCTGAGGCTGAGGCAGGCTGAGGCTGAGGCCGAGGCTGAAGGCAGACTGAGGCTGAGGCTGAAGCAGGCTGAGGCTGA